AAAAGAGTTTGGTCCCAATATTACAGTACTTTATGACAAATTTTGGGAGTTCAAAGATATGCCAATATAGATTTAATTTATATGCCAAAGACATATTTTCGATTGGCGAAAATAAATTTATATAGTCACTTTGATTGCCTTGGTTAAGTTATAAACTTGAATGGAGATGAGATGCAATATCTTCGACATGATTTTTCCGTAAATTCAGTGATTTCAGTGGAAAAAGTTGTTATCTCTCATCAGACAAATTACTATTACAGTTGATAAATAAAAAGATAAATAGTTTTCACTGAGATGCGAGCCTCTTGTAGGTTAAAAAGGGCGACCAAATATAGCCGCTCACTGACCAACGAAAATTTCCGTAGATTTAATATGTGGCATTTGTCCGGTTATTAGAAATTTAAAAGCGAAGAAAACTCCACAAAAAACTCCTCTTCGTATCTTACTGGTTTACAATTTCAAAATAGGTTCGTTTTTTAGGTACAAAGATATCCTCCCTTCTCACATGCGATCGTCCCTAGTTTAAATATTTAGTTGTGCACGATGTGCATCTGCGTACGGCGGAATGACGGCACGCAACCTTTACACTAGGGTCGCTGAGCATAAAGGGAGGAGTTATAGAACTGGGCAGTTACTATCGCGCCCTCCTCATTCGGCTGTGCGCACTCACGCCGAACAGTGCAACGTTCCGGTGTCCGACACTGACTAAGATTTTAGCTTATAGTTCTGGTGCTTCAGATCTGCGCATTTTAGAATCATTGTATATTTTTAAAGAGAAGCCTAGTTTAAATGCTGCCTACAGTTCTTATCCATTAGAAATTGTGAATAAATAGGTATTTCTTTATTATTCTGCCCTTTGCCTGTAAATTTAGGTATTAACTTGTTTTTTTTCTTATGACTCCAAACTTTATTAATTTTCTGACTGTATTTGTGTTCTAGATTTATCGAACTGACGATGGAGCTGGTCTCCGAAACGTTTTCAATAGAGAAATGCTGAATTTTTGTGGAGTTTTCTTCGCTTTTAAATTTCTAGTGAATCTGCGATTCAAGCAATCTAGTGGCATTATTACTTGTCCGGTTATTTCTTAAGCTATTTCTACGGGCATTGAAAATAACACTTAGAACAATTGATGGGTCACGGTGTGTCCAAATAGTGACATACTTTCTGCATGTAGCACTGATACGCCCAAACTGAATCAAGATGACCCACATAAGGGCAAAAACTGTATCACTATTTGGAAAAAATCTCTTTCATTCTTCTGAGTGAACTCCTTCTTACAGCCCATACCGACACACCTACACTCTTAATGCTATTCCTACCTGTAATGCAAATAAATCTGACAAATATGAAGTATTATCTAGATAAAGTTATACATTATTGAGAATCTTATTTATTTGTGAACAGGAATTGTCTTCAAAATTTTAACTTTGTTTCTAAAAACTCATTTATTTCACAAAATAAAATTCGTTGTGAATAAACTCAGCGAAATTGAGCATCGAAACGAACAAACTCATGTCGCATTCTCGACTCACCGGCTTCTTATTCGTTAATTAATTCTCAGTTAATTAAATTGAAGCGATTAACATGATTATTTTATAATCCCCATTGAATTTTGCGCTGATGAACTCGGGGAGTTCCTAGACATGTGGTGATTACATGTGGTGATTGTGTTGACATGAGGGAACCATGGGATTAAATTATATTTATCGAACCTTCCATTTGGACAAATTTTAAGACACATTGAACCCATTACTGTACCTCTTATCAGAAAGCTTGAGAGATTAAACTCAAAAGAAGTCCTCAATAAAACTGGCATTATTTTTAACCATAACCAAACACTTATCTAGTACAATAAAGTAATGCGTGTACAAGTAGAAATATTTAATATATTCATATAGTTAATGAATATTTCAAATAATCGAGAGAATCACACGTGTATATTTTAAACTAAATTAATTTTGAAAAAAAAAATAAAATTATACTCGAGTATTTTCCACACATCATTTATGTAATTTTTTCCCATACATTTTCAAGAAGAAAAGAGAAACAGAACTTCAACAATATTCTTAGACTGGATAAGACGTTCACAATACGAACTATCGGCGCGCTATCGTCGGCCGCACAACAAGCTTCGCTAGCCTTATAATTTAAGCTAATTCTCTGACATATAAATCTCCGCATTGGTCATTCGGTGAGATTCAAAAATAAGACAATTCCTGTATATCATTCCCATTGTTATTTCCTACCTTGGATACACTTATAAATGCAAAATATTATATATTCGTCATTAACACGGGAACGCCTCCAATAATAACCGAAAATTGGAAATTGGACACGATTTTTGTTGGCATCCAGTCACGAAATTTTCACACTTAGTTACAAACACTTATTTGAATCGCGTAAAATAAGCAGAAAGAAATCACGGAAACTTACGTGCAAATTAGTTCACGAATGAACAGGGGTATTTTGTTATGGATTTTATTTACAATTTTATTAAGAATACAATCTTCCTTGTAGCGATAATTTCTACCTATCATTTGGTATTAAAATTTCTTCGTAGTGCAATCGAATTATCTACACAATCAAACTTTTCAGGCGTGATGAAATTGTAAATTACGCAGCAAATTAATGGACATAATTGTATGGCTCCTTCCATTTTTTGAATCTTAAAAGACCAATTAAAAACTCCGGTAAATAGGATCGATTTTTTCATGAGCATTCGAATATTTTCGTAGCCTTCACTCGATTAAAAAAATTATATAATAATATAATAATAATGATAATAATGTAATAAAAATGATATAATAATGATCCTATAATAATATTGGAAGGAGACAGCAATCACCAATTGTTATTCGTTGTACTACCTACTTACACATTAATACTATGAATGTAGAATCTAATAAATAAAAGGTACGTAACAAGATTCAATGGGACTTGACATAAACCTCAATAACGAGTGGGGATCTACCTATAGTATCAAAAATGAGGGTAAAGTGGAACTCATCGGCACCTCACACTTCAGGGAATCTGAGGGTAAAAATGGGGGCTATACATTCGGTGCCACTGTGAAATAATGGAAAAACAAGACAGGGCTCAGAATGTTCAAAAAGAGGAAGCAGAAAAGGAAATTTCGGTATTAGGTGCCTTGGGGTTTGGGGTTATATATACCTTGGGGTTTGGTTAAATATTTTTGGATTCCGTGTGTTCAGAACGACTATGGAGGTATTTGGCACAGCTGAAACACTACTGCTATTGGCGAGTTACTATTGATATTCATTGGCCATTTAGAACTTTTCTAATATTAAAGTATGCAGAACTTTTCTCTCACATGTTTGACACGGTAATTATTATTGCAAATTTTGACAACTTAATTAAGCTTGAAGCTTGAGTGTAAAGCGAACACTGCGGGGTGGCGGCCATGCCAGCCCAGAGCCATCACAGAGAAAGTTTTGGTCGCAGTTTACTTTCTTCATTAATAGACTGAAAAAACGGTAAAGGTCAATGATGGCATTTATATTGAGGATATATAAAACAGTCCGCATGTGCTCCAATATATGCATCGTGTTATAATCAACACGTTGACTCCGAAGTGGTACATAAGCGTACCACGAGGTGTATTACTCCAGGATGTATAGTGGTGCATAATTCAGGGGTGCCTGGTGGACTAAAAAACGGCTAAGTGCGCGAACAAAATAGGGCAAAAAAGGCCTAAAACTCAATATATACTAGTATATTTGTAGGTTTCGGTGTAAAAATTCCATTTATATTTTTTTGAACTTTTATAAATTTAATTAGGAAGTACCCCAATCATAAATTTTAACCGGCCAATTTAACTGAAAAAAAAGATCTAAATCGCAGAATTTTATCCGGAAAAGTGACCGTCTGGCAACCCCGTTTCATAATAGTACTAAAAATGAAATAATAGTACAAGTTGAAGTAATCGGAGTCAACGTGTTTATGAAACGAGTAATGCTACACGCAGATTTTCATACGCAATTTTTGGCACATGAAATGCAAGTTAATGAAGGAATAAAATGCAAGTTATGCAACTTCCCTTCAGCCCAATGAAAGTTGACACAACAGCGAAAAGTGAAGAAAGCCTCTATGTTCAAGAAGAAATACAGTTCAATTAATCGACCAGTAACGATGTTCAAATAGAAATGAACGGTTACACTAATGTCTGCTTTGGAGGTAGCAACAATAGCAGACTGATATGTTCAATTAGGCGAGATTACGTGATTACGCGTCACGTTAGCAGACAGAAGACTCAGGTGTTTGCAACGTATAAATGTTATGTGTTCCGGACGTAGCATGCAGTCCCAGGCCACGCTAGCTCTGTACTCCGCCGCCCTCAGCACCGAGTAGGAAACAAGTCCTCGCTTCCAAGGTAATTCTGTAATTACCTTGGAGTTTGTAATTGGAGTACGCAGGCAAATACTTAGTACGCAGGCACGTACGAGCATTTATTACGCGGTGCAGCTGCATGCGAAGCTCATAGCGAAACAGTCCACTGAACGCGGGAAGATTTTTATTTATGAGAAAATGTCTGATCGCTACAGCAAAGGAAAGTTTTAAACGTTCAATTAGAATTGACCAAATCACATAAATAAAAATGAAACGTAAGATGGCTTGGAATAAGTAAGCTAAACAAGAGAGCTTGGCCCTTCAGGCAAATGACGTTGAAAAAATGTTGAGTAAGGTTATTTTATTAACGTTATTCAACGTTGTAGTTGTTTATTAACGTTATTTCAACGTTGAAGTTGTTTATCAACGTTATTTCAACGTTGATTACAGGTTGTTTTATCAACGTTGATTTCAGGTTTTTTTATCAACGTTTTTTCAACGTGAGATGCCCAGGGGCGAGTAAACTGAATCACATGCCCTGGCGAGGCGAAGTCTCACCAATACACCGAGAACAATGCACATAATTTATATAGTAAAAACATACGATAAAAATAAGATAACAAACAGGACAACAATAATGCAGCGATCAGCCGGCACACTATAAGGTACATTTATAAAAATTTGGACAATGTCTCACTCAGTTCTTTGAGTGTACGGCCGTCACATAACCGGCACGAATTGTCCACGGGAGGCCGTCGAAAAATCGTCCATGATTACTCAAGATATTTAACGTATAATAAAGAATAAAGTTTCGACAGCCAGCTACAAAAATTCCATAATATTTTAATATAGAGTACAAGAGCGACACAAGGATCAAGTTAAAAAAATACCAGTAAGAAATAACTTAAATTCGAAATATTTATATAAATTTTGGTTAAAAACGATCAGAAGAATCCATGGTTAAGATCAAATAAACACAGTAAGTTGATATTGAATATATAATTGGGCTTAAGCTTTGAAATACACCGACATCATCATCTCATTTAAACGTCATCCATGGATAAGTCATATAGGGTGCACGAGTTACACAACGTACAACAAAAACCTTCGTAAAAAATATAAAGAAGTTTAATGACATAACAAAGCATGGAAAATACGATGAGCTTCATGATATCCAACGACAGGGATTGTGACCAGGAAGGCTGAGGTCTACCTGGATGATGTGTTTCGGAATACGAAGACTCGTGGTCACGGACACGAGGCGATGAACAGCGATGATGAAAACGAAGACGAGGGATGTTTAGTGGACGTTTTAGAGAAGTTTGGGGATGTTCAGACACTTACAAGCACGTCCAGTAACGCATAAGGACGTCCAGTAACGGGTAAGGACGTCCAGTAACGGGTAAGGACGTCCAGTAACGGGTAAGGACGTCCAGTAACGGGTAAGGACGTCCAGTAACGCGTAAGGACGTCCAGTAACGGGTAAGGACGTCCAGTAACGCGTAAGGACGTCCAGTAACGCGTAAGGACGTCCAGTAACGCATAAGGAAGTCCAGTAACGCGTAAGGACGTCATGAGACGTCCACGAGAGTCTCTAGGTGGCGGTAGGGTCTGGGGAGGAGGCAGCAGGTCGCCAGAGCGGCGTGTCCGACGGGGCCTCAGAGTTGGGAGATGAGGAAGAATAAGGAGCTGATATAGACGGGGAAGGAGTTCTGGGGCTCTTATTCAGGATGAGGGGAGAGTTTTTTTGGACGGGGGAATGAAGTCCTGAGGGAGGAGACTGACTGCCAGTCCTATGTTTTTGGGGACACCTGGCATCATTTGGAGTCTTTGGGCTGGGGGAAGTCGGTTGGGGAGCGGGACTCCCCGAAGAGCTTTGCTGGAGACATGAGGGGGATGTCCTAGAAGAGAGGGCCGGACGGTCTGCTGTGTAAATGGATGCCGACCCTCGAGAAAGATTCATGGGACTTCCATCAGGTTCAGTAACTTCGGTGTTTTTCCTCGCGTCAAAAGGAACAAGCTCTTCTTTTATCGCTGGTGAGCCTCTGAACTCCGGAGCAGATGTTCCTGCCGAATGTTCCGAACACGAAGAGGTACTTTGATGCTCAGCATATGGCAGGAACAAACCCGGGCCACATCCACGAGTTGAAACGTACGTAGTCCCAGGGACTCCAGAAGTCGAAGGTGTCGCGGAGGTGGTCACCGTAGAGTAAGGAGATGGCATGGAACCAGTACTGGACTGTATGGTACCAGACGGCATGGTACCGGACTGTATGGTACCAGACGGCATGGTGCCGGACGGTTCAAGGGACCGTGCACCTAATTGCTGTTGTTGAGACCGATGGGTCAGCTGCGGTTTTTGTGGATCCACAACGGATTTCTTCTTTGGTTTAACGACGGTTTTGGTCAGTGAGACGCAGAGATCGCCGACTTGCAGCTGTCTGACACTGAGGCCGTACTTGTCGAAGGTCTTCTGAGGGTTGCAGGAAGACCAACCGAAGTTCAGCACAAAAAAAGGATGGTCGACGCTGGGCTCCACCGACATCTGAAATACAAGACAACGGTCACAACACGTTACGTATCATTCATGCGGGACTCAGAAGGATATTGTGGCAAGTCAAAGGCTATCGTCCTACAATATCAAAAGAAAGGAACGTTTGAAACAGGAAGAGTCTAAGAAGCAACATCGTTTGAACAAGAAAGTGTTCGAATATGTAACAACTTTGTATCAGGTAATGTTAAAAGTGGCGAAAAGTTACAATTTAATGAAGATTAAATTTAACAAAGGTTGGTGTATGAAATTAAATTATGCCTCAAATGAAGTTGGTGGATTTTCGGGTAAACGGAAATTCTTCGCCGATTTCTAACCAAGAATTACAAAAAGCTGAAATAAACATCTGCCTCAATAAAATGTTCATGGTTACAGAGACGCCCCAGCGTCAGGACCTGAAACATCAATAAATAGAGCGCAATTATAGAATGAAAACATTTTGGAGAACATTTTCCGGAGAACATTCATGAATTCATAACATTCGTTACGGGAGAAGACACAAACATGAAGACACCCAGGATTTTCAATTACAGCTCATAACCAACTAGACAAATGACCGTTGTAAAGCGTTGATCTCGAGATGATTTAGCGTAAAATAGTTTAATTAACGTTGCTCAATTATTAATCGTCAGATGGCTGGCGGGGAAGGAGCTTTAAAAAATCCCACCTCAGTATTGCGAGACATGAAGTTGAAGGTGATGGTGGCGGTGCCGCCAGACGACGCCATGACGATGCTGGACACGAATGGCGGGTCCAGCTTGAGGTCGTCGGCAGCGTCCGCGGCGTTGATGAAGTCCTCAGTCCTCATGTCCTCAACCCGCCTCACCTCAGACCCCACGGCCACCAGCGCCCCCTTCTGAAAGTGGGCGTAGTAAGTCCCAGCGGCCTCTCCATCGTCCCTCTTCGGTGATTTTCGAGGGGAAGCTCTGGGAGAAACTCCCACAGGGGGTCTGAAATTCGCCGATGAAGTTGCGGAGTTGCCAAGAGGTTCAGGGGATGCGATCCGAGGTCCTTTAGGGGGCCTTTGAAGAGGAGTACGTGAAGCGGGCGTAGGAAAGGGGAATGATGAGGTTTGAGTGTTCCTTCTTTTAGGGCTTGGTTCGCCGTGGAGGTTCCGGGAATGAGCCTCGAATGAGGATAAAGGGGAAGAGTGTAAATCTGGCCTGGGTTCTCTTAGATCAGAGGACGCGGGTTCAGGTACTGGAAGAGGAGGAGGGGGTGGCGGAGGAGGAGGAAGAAGGGGAGGACCAAGAGGTCTTAAATGAGGTATAAGTTGACTAGGATTAGGTGGGGAATGTACAGACGGTTGATCAGCATGTCGAGGACCCACGATAGGGCGAGGACGGATTGGGGCAGGTCGGGGTTGATACTCCCTCAGGTATGGGTAGGGGGTCGCGAACATTGGGTGACTATAGTACGCGGCTCGCGTGGGTAAGTTAGAAAAATGTGAATAATAATCAGGTATCGCCGACGCCGAATGAGATGCAGCTTGGGATGCAGCTGCAAACGGCAAGTGCTCGGCCCGGGCTGGGGTGATGCGGGCGACCTCCGCGAGCCACGGCGCAGTGAAGGGCTGCAGGTGCGCGCTCGACGTCGTAGGATGCGTTAAGCTCCTAACCAAGCTGTCCTTAGGATCAGCGACGGCGTTCTTGTTGTGGTCGTAAGGATGCTTGAGGGCATCCAGCCCCCCGCTGGCCACGTCCATCTTGTAGGGCAGCGCCTCCAGCAGCGTCCGCGCCGCCGCCATAGCGTGCAGGCGACTGTCGGTCATCTCGCGCGCCCCCACCACCATCTCCTGCTGGGGGCACCGACATTAGGGCTGTTTGGTGCAGAGACTGGGGACTAGTACAGAGACTGGGGACTGGTACATAGACTGGTACAGAGACTAGGGACTGGTACAGAGACTGGGGACTGGTTCAGAGACTGGGGACTAGTACAGTCATTGGAGACTAGTATAAGGATTAAACACTAGTATAGCGAATGCTGGGGCACGACTAAGGTGAGCACAAAACGTGCAGTTGAAATGTATAGCGGAATGTACAGTATAGTTTACCAGTATAGCGTGCAGTGAAAATTTACAGTATATAGTTGACCAGTATAGCGCGCAGTGGAAATGTACAGTTTAGTTGGCCAGCATAGCGTCATAAGATGGAAATGTGAGACTTCACCATCTGCTGCAGGTGGCGATAAATGTTTACAACATCACGATGAAACTATTGTTTGCCCAACATTTTATATCTCAAACGGAAGAATATTTTAAATTTTTTGACCGCTGATGAATAATGATGTCAAGCCAGAATTATTTAATTATTTTATGATTAACGTATCATTTCATATCATTGCAGTTATGTAATGCGTTCACCATACATCATTGATGCAGGCAGAAAATGGTAAGCCCACAGCATGCTAAAGTGATGAAGACTTCAAAGCGATACAATAAAAAACAGTGATGTTGATTGTAGTAGTTTTTATTAATAATGAACTAAAAAAACATAACACGCAAACAGACTAATAGCTCAGTAATCGAAGAAGCAGGATAAGACCACCTAACAAAATGTGTTTGAACGGTAGAGAAATCAGTGAGGAAGAAAGGGTTTTATCATACCATGAATAAAATCCAACATTTTCCATTCAAATGCATGAATTTTTGCGTATCAATTGCCAAGTTTTGCGTGAGGTGGAGAGAGATTACGTGTGTGCGAGTAGCGAACACGTCGTGAACACGTCGAGCTGTGCCAGCTGCAGCAAGCACAAACAGCAGCAGCAACACGCACAAACAGCAGCAGCAACAAGCACAAGCAGCAAGAACAAGCACAAACAGCAGCAGCAACAACAAGCACAAACATCAGCAGCAACAAGCACAAACAGCAACAGCAACAAGCACAAACAGCAGCAGCAACAAGCACAAACAGCAGCAGCAACAAGCACAAACAGCAGCAGCAACAAGNTGGTCGTAGTTCAGAGAGATGGTCGTAGTTCAGAGAGATGGTCGTAGTTCAGAGAGATGGTCGTAGTTCAGAGAGATGGTCGTAGTTCAGAGAGATGGTCGTAGTTCAGAGAGATGGTCGTAGTTCAAAGAGATGGTCGTAGTTCAAAGAGATGGTCGTAGTTCAAAGAGATGGTCGTAGTTCGAAGAGATGGTCGTTATAGTTCCAAGAGATGGTTGTATAGTTCCAAGAGATGGTCGTAGTTCTAAGAGATGGTCGTAGTTCTAAGAGATGGTCGTAGTCTCTAAGCAACTTGCTCGCGACGCTCTTTATCGCTTCTCGTACTCATGGACAGTTCTTAGCTCCGTGTTTATCCTGTCTCTTATACACATCTAGATGTGTATAAGAGACAGCCCTCATGCAGGGCACATTGAGTCCCCCCCTCACCGAGCCCCCACTCCCTCACACCTCGAGCCTTCCCCCTCCCCTCATCTCGCAAGCCGCCCCCCCTCCCCCCAAGATGATGTCATAGCTGCAGCGGCTGTGAGAAAGAAATATAATTCCAAGAATTATTAATTCACTAAAATTCACATGGTATTGTGTGATTTAATTTAAATTACAAAAAATATTATTTAAACATAATTTAATACGAAGAAGTTATAATAATGATATATTATAATAATGACCCGAAAGCTGTTTTTAAATCAAATATAAAAAACATTTTACCTTGGTTTGTAAGCTTTCTTATTCATTTATGTCTCTCTGTTAATAACTTAAACAATATCGACTTTATATTGTTGATCATTGTAATTATTATAACCCCCATAATGTATACAACATGCATTATATAATAAATTGTACATATAATATAAACATAATAGATTTCTAACGATAACATAATCTCCCATTATTATAATCCATATGCTGATGTATATACTATAGATAGAATGATAGTGACGCGAGATGAAACTCAGAATGATGATGGCTTGTCACATGAAGACCATGGTGATGATGCGCTCTATTTATACGCATCACATCTGCACCACCACACTTCATCACACTGACACATGTGGTGAAGGCTGAGGTGTACATCACACTTTAATAAAACGCTGCAACTTGTGGTGATGTGGCAGCTGCCACATGTGGTAGTAAGATGCCACGTGATGCCACACTTTGCCACATGATGCCAAGCAGACTAGCAACAGATATCCATCTATAGTCCACAGACCCTATATTTACAGTATATTTACCGTATTTCAGACAAATGACGTTGAAACGTCGATGATTAACACTTGATTTCGTTGATAAACATCAATTACGAGGGGAGCGCTGCCGTAGCCCAAAAATTTGACTCTATTAAGGGGACCGGCTACCCTCCGGAAAAACTTCTACAGTTATTATCCGATCATCATGAAACTTCACATACGTACGTAAAATGTAAAAAAAAGAACATGAATTTTTCGAAAAAATTGATAGAAAACGTGAAATTCATAGAAAACAGCTAAAAAGGGGTACTTTAGAAAATCTATCTCCTCCTACAAATATCATCCTACAACATCGAGAAACGTATCATTCGATTCGTAAAGACCATACCTATCGACTCTCACATCACTTTTTTTCATTTTCCACATAGTTTTTTTTGGCGTTTTTTCCCATTTTTCTCATTTTTCCCCCATCCCCCCCCACCTTCTCCCCCATATAAAAAACGAACCAGACAGAAATTCAAAAAAGTGATGTGACAATCGATAGGTATGGTCTTTACGAATCGAATGGTATATGTCTCATTGCTGTAGCTTAAAAACTGTAGGAGGAGATAGGTTTGCCGTGAGACCAATAAGAGGTTTTCACTACGCCCAAAAAACTGCCGGGCGGCACGTAAAAGTATGTAAAAGAGTCGTAACGTAGCCAACATATCGTAAGTAAGCCTTAAACCAAGTCAGGAAGGCATAGAGCGTCTGGCTGTACACCTCTCACCTTGCTGTCATGATAGACACTGCCTTCTTTGGCGACAGGAGTCACAACTCACAGGAGGCTGTATTTACAGTCCCGCCTTCGAATTACTCTCATAGGGATTACTTAAGGCCGCCCACTACCGCCCCCTGTTCGACGTTACGTTGCATTTGTAAAAATTCACCTAGAATGATGATTCTGGTACCGTTCGACGCGTCAAAAAGTAAGCTTTGAGATGAGTATAAGCACCGGATAATGCCATAATTAGCCGCTTTACGTCAGACGTTCCTTTTTAGTGTGTCCAGCCTTCGAATTAATCCCATAGGCTTTAGTGAAGAGCCCTAAAAACTGCCCCCCTTTGGGGAGCTGTCACGAAATAATTTTTCGGCGTAGAGGGATGATTCTGGTACCGTTCAATGCGTCAGAAAGTAAGCTTTAAGATGAGCACAAAAACCGGAAAACACCAAAATTGAAAATTTTAGGGTAGCCGGTCCCCTTAAATCAGCCCAAGAGCCAATGCCAACCCTCTACATGCAATAGAAATAGTCAGCATAACACCTATGCAGCCGTTCTTACTTGCCTCATCTCGCCACACCAGCTTGAAACAAGCAATGCCTCAGCCCACAAGCTGATATTCCAAACGGATTACGCCCAATAGCTCTTACACCAATGATTTAAGCCATCACTTCTTACAAATGCCGTAAGCCACAGGGTCCGCAGACCGCACCAGACTGCCGTAAATGGGAACGGCCCCGCACCGGACTGTCGCATCACCTTACCCACTTCGCAGGCGTAAGCCCAGCCCTGACGCTCACCAGCATCTTCTTCCTCCACACTTACCTCCTTCTCTCCACCTTTCCGCGAAAAGGTTAGGTTAGGTTAGGTTAGGTTTGGTTAGAGCTGGTACCGAAAGGGGGGGGAGCAGGGGGTAAGCGTGGAGGTTTAGCCTCCAGAAGAACGGACAGGCAGGTGAATAGCCTCCAGAAGAACGGACAGGCTGGAGAGGTAGCAGTGTACTGATAGCACTGTGGCGCAGGGCGTTCTTTATCGAAAGTGGGGAAGGGGCTAGGCTGCATGGAATAGAAATATTTTGGGGTTTAGCGTGTGGGTTACGACCATAGTATATGCGGCCTGCAGCTCATTGGCTCGCTGGTTTACATCCATGAAGGGATTTAGTCCCTGTGGCTTTCAGCAAGTAATCATGTTGGCTAATTTGCTCTGCAGCATGCTTGCGCACGGGGTGAAGTATGAAAATTATGCTGGTATTGGGCAATGTTGGGCTATTTCAGTCGCCCCATTACGAGTAGATGCCGTAGAAAAACGTTGATTACGAGCTGATTTCGTAAAAAAACGTAGATTGCTAGTTGATTACATTAAAAAACGTTAGTTACGAGTTGATTTTGTTGATTACGAAATTTTATCGCTGGAATAACGTATAATCACCATTATATCACAGTTAGGAGCCTGGTGAGTGGGTGGGGTGTGTAGGCCCAGGGTCCAGCGGTCGCTATACATAGTCTATACATATTCGCTATATAGTCTATACATAATCGCTATACATAGTCTATATAGTCGCTATATAGTCCATACACAGTCGCTATACATAGTCTATATAGTCGCTATATAGTCTATACATAGTCGCTATATAGTCTATATAGTCTATACATAGTCGCTATACATAGTCTATATAGTCGCTATATAGTCTATACATAGTCGCGTTATCGTCTTGACGCCTGCTGCTATCTCGGGGCAGGAGGGCGCGAACTTCTTATCTTTATTCTGCTCGTAATTCACGCTCAGGCTTGGCTATAGTATTCTGCCCCAAACCTGGCAGGTATTCTGCCCCAAACCTGGCAGGTATTCTGCCCCAAAAACCAGTCAAGATCCTCGAAGTAAAAAAATTCCATCATTTTTCGTA